TAGCAGGTGCCAGATACCATTGAGAGTTGAGAGTTTTGCATATGTTATCTCACAGATCTAGGCCTTATTAGTCACCTTTACAGATTAGGTAACTGAAGTGCAGGGAAGTTTAGTAACTTGTCCTGGATCCATCACAGGTAGATGATGGAGCTGATGTGAACCACATCTAACTGCAGAGCCTGGGATCTGAATTCACTACTGAGGCTGGCTGCCTATCAGATCCACCTGCACAAGGAAGGATTTTGCCTAATGTCTCCACACCGTCCTTGCCACATCTTTTGGGACAGGCCTCATAACCTTGTTTGTGTGTTCTGATGTTTTTTATTTTGTTTTGGGTGTTTGTTGCTGTTTGAGACAGAGCCTCACTCTTTCACCCAGGCTAGAGTATGGTGGTGTCATCATAGCTCATTGCAACCTCAAACTCTTGGGCTCAAGCAATCCTCCTGCCTTAGCCTCCCAAGTAGCTGGGACAACAGGTGCACATGGCTATTTTTAGAGACAGGGGTCTCCCTCTTGCTCAGGCTGGTCTAGAACTCCTGACCTCAAGCAAGCTTCCCACCTCAGCCTTCCAGAGTTCTAGGATTACTAGCATGAGCCCCAAACCTGGCCATATAACCCTGTTAAATTAGCACAAAGGTCTGTCCTGTAAACTGAGAAGTATTTGAACCCTTGCAGGCCAGGGAAGAATAGCACCAGAGACCTTCCAGTGGGCAGAGAGAGAGCTCACACCTTGATCAGAGCATAGGAAGAGCTACCTATTCGCTCAGCACTCTAAGGGGTAATACTCAGTACCTGGGTGACACAGATCAGAATTAAACTGATGCTTTTGGCCTCCAAGAGGGATTCTCCCTCCCAGATTGGGAATACCCCATGCTGACAACAAAGAATCTTTGGACCAAGAAACTTAGATGGTAAACCTCCCAGGTGTGGGGCCCACATCCTGCATTGTCTTTGTACCTACCCCATGACACCACACGCGAAGCTAGGCAGCCAGATTCAGGGAATGGCAAAGATGGGAAAGGTTCTGGGCCATCTAGTCCAAACTTCTTATTTTACAGCTGGCCCTAAAAGGGGAGAGGGGCTTTCCTGGCAGTATCCAAACTAGAAGCTGGGTCTACTAACTCCCGACTGATGCTCCACCTCAGACCACCAGGTGCCTAATAACCATTAAGGAACCAAATGTGAGCAAAGACTATAGAAGCAGCTTGAAACGTGGAAGGGTATGGAGGTGGTGAGCCTGTGCTTGGGAGGTGCTCCGTCACTGTTAGCAGAATGGATGAACACCGAACAGTTTTCCGCTGTAAGGGTCTTCCTTCCTCTGTCACCCACCCACACATACTCCTGAGCTGCTGCGACTCTGAAAAATAAACAGCGAGTGTGTGAAACCAGTTTGGTAAAACCTTTCAAAGAGGCAGGTAACCATCAAAATAATTATAAAGACAATATAGCAACATGGAAAGCTGCTTGCGTTGTCCAACAAAGGAAGGAAATAATTATACAATTGACTCTATCCCATGAGTACAGGTGTGCAGAAATTATGCTGGCACAGGGGACAGGACTCTTCATAATGGTTCACATTTACTGAACACTTCCTTCCCCACCAGACAGGCTCAGTATGAAATTCTATACAGAGGTTATCTTATTCAACCCCTCTATATCCCTAAAACCCCGTGAGGTCAGAAATATTGGAGACACAGGGATGCCTGACTTCAGAACCTATTCTCTTAACCACTGATCTGAATCTGTGGCAGAAACGGGAATTTGGGGGGTTTCTTTTCCTTTCTTGTTACTTGAATATTTATTTAAAAGGAAAAAAATACTCCCAACGATTACTGATTGCTCTGGAAACCAACAAGAAACTCACACCTCAAATATTGAGTTTACTTGCTGAAAAAGAAAACATCTAAAACTCCTCGCCGCGTGGTGGCGCTAAAGGACGCGCTACCGGTCGCCAAGCAGGCTGCCCGGGAGCCCCGCATCGCTGGCCTGGTCTTTTCCGAGCTGGCAATTCTGAGCCGGCGGTTCCCGCTGTCGGCACACAGGCGGTGCACCCACATCAGCCGCCCCTCCCACGCCTGCCACCCGCAACTGATACGTCTCCGGGTGCAGCCTGTAGCCCACTCTGTGACCCCATCACCCCAGGTAGAAGCGGCCTGGCTCACCCATTCCCAGTCCCCT